CCCCTCTCAGTTTTCGTGACCTTGGCCACTGAGGATCATGAGCAGATGTTCCTGTTAGGTGGTCAGTCTGACAAGAAACCCCCAGTGTTTAGTTCCCAAGCAAGCTTGGTATTCATTCACCGACCCAATGAAGGGATGAATGACTGAGTCGACTTTGCCCAGACCAGAATTTGAGCCCCAGGCCCTTGGCGGGGAAGCGCGATACACTATCATTCGGCCACTGGTCACTCATATTAATATTTAATAATATTTATTTTAGATTGATGAATATAAATAACTGTTTTAAGAATATTAAAGTAAATATATAAAAACTTTAAGTAATTTAAACATGTTGCTTTGATGATTTTTAACCGAATAAATTCAATTTCGAAAGTTTTCTGTATAAATTGTTGAACAAAAATGTGCAAATAACAATTATTTAAAATATCATATTCTTATCATTATATCTTTTCCGTATTTGGGTTATAAAATTTTTTGTCATTATTAAGAGAAATAAATTCATTTCATAAAATTATTCGATTACCAATAGTTCCTTGGAAAGCATTATAGTTCATAAAAGATTCACAAGGAAAAATTTTAAAGTTGAAATAAAAAAAGAGTTCTCTAAAAATGTTAATTGTAAATTATTGGAATCATGTTAAGTAAAAAATTGCAAATACTCTGTGGAAATAGTAATTAAATAATAAACTAAAAAGGATGTATAATAAATAAATCGAAATTAAAATAAATTAGGAAATGAAATTTTCCTAATAATAATGAATATTTAATTATTTCAACCCTAGAATATATTTATTATGCAAGAGTTATTTTTTAAGACGACATTACAAAAATATTGCAGAAAATTGAGAATGCTAAAGCATATTAAAGAAGGTTAGTATTTATATGTTAAAAAAAACATCTTAGAAGCGGTTTAATGTCGCCATTGAATGCTAAAAATATTTTTCGACAATGTTCCATATATATCGTACTTTATTTTTCATGATAAATATATGTTTGCTATTTATAATTTATTCGTGATTTAGAATTAAAAGATCAAATACATCAGAAATTAAACAGTTTCCTTTCACATTCACTATAAGTAATAAATTCTTTTCATTCATGATAAAATCTTAAAAGCTGTTGGGAACAAAAACTTTTTTTTTTACGTTTTCTGAGACATCCACTCATATTTAAGGCACAAGTTTTAAATAAAATTCATTCCAGTCTTCTTCGATGAGATTCTGACTTTTTTTCCCCGAATGTTTATTTTCCACTCAAAATTCCATTTTGTTTGAGTGGTAAACCTAAGAATCCTAGTTCTTTGTTTTGTGAAATATCTTAAGTAAATTTGAACTTCTGAGCACTGCACACACGCAATTGAGAAATGTTCTTGAAATATTTTTCATTTTGGGGCCATATAACCAAAATAATGTTACAACTAATTGTCATTTTATTGCTTTACAGGAAGAAAATTCATTGCATAAATTCAAGTAAAAATAAATACTCACATTAAGAAACTGAACACCCTGTTGAACAAAAGAAGGAAGAAACAACAGCAAGATACATTTTTTTTAAAGTACAAAGCAGACGTCCTTACCTGAAAAGAGAACAATTTAAAACATAAATAATAAGAATACAAATGAGTAAAAATGTATTTAGATAAAATATTAAATGCCTATGCTTTATATTTATATCCTGCAAATGGAAAATAATTTACCATAGTGCATTCTATATATTTTTATGTTTAACTTATAATCTCTCTATGCACTAATATGAAAGTAAAGCAAATATGAAACATAAATAGCTATTTAATCTTTACCAAAATAACTGTGTTTGAGGTACTTGTTATACCGATTTATTTATTAATGTTTGATTTATTTGAGCCCTTATAATAATTTTTTAAAATTGTAATATCCTATTTCTCTAAAATTCTGTTAAAAAGTTTGGATATGGTAGGTTTTATTACTCTAAACGGTTAAGATAAAATAGATTTGCTTATGTGCATGATTTTCTTAGTTTCTTCTAATCATATTTATCTTATTTAAAATTCAGAAATATGAACTAAAATTGTGCGAGAAAAAGGACTGAGTGCATGAATTGCAATCATTTCTAAATTTCCACAATACATCTTAAGAGGAAAGACTTTTGAGTCATATTTAATTAGATTAATTGAGAAACAAGTAATAAATTACCTTATACGAATAAATTAAAAATGAAAGAATTTTATCTTATTTCAAATCTTACATTTTATTAACCTTAGTATATGATAAACCACTGATTTCTTCCTTTTTATCACAACTTTGTTATTATTTCGACACAGGAATTTTTCTATAATTTAGAATTAGTTATGAAATTTATGAAAAATACGGCACTGCGTTGCAATTATATATATATAATAACGTGTTAAAACTTACAAAAATATATTTACAACTAATAATTGGAAAAAATATTTTTAAGAGTTTCATACCATGCAGCTTCAAAACAGAATGAAATAAGTAGGAAGCAAAAACGCAGCTTAGAAAATTTTTAGATGTATAATATAAAGCTTCAAATAAAAATTTAAAAAAATGTTGTTTTGATACAAAATAGAACAATATTCATTTAAGAAAAAGAGAAAATTGTTTAAATTTTAAGTATATTTCATAAAAAAAAAAAAAAAAAAAAAAAAAACTATACTCCTCTTAACCTTTCAAAAAAATTGAAGAATGTAGTGATCCAATCAAATGAAAATATCAAGATCTTGAGTTTGTTCCAGACAATGATGACGTCTCATTGATCTAAAAAATGTATTTTTATAGAAATTGTTCATTTACATTCTATATTTTAAGGCGCCGTCTAAGTAAATTGTCTAGACATTTTTTGAGAATTTGAAACTTTGTTGATGAAAGCAAGGGCAAACAGTTCTTTTAATAAATGTGATAGAAATTTCAATGATTTTTTATGCCAAATAATTACGCGTATAGAGAGCAATTTGAATACCCTAGTGTTTTTTGAAAACTAACGAAAAAAACATTTCAAATAAAATTGAAATGGATGATTTATTTTACACTTTATGTTTAGAATTTACACTTTAATGCATTTAAAAATAGTTTAGAAATAGTTATTATACTATTTAAAGAATGCGTATTTCAACAATTGTGAAATATGAAGAAAATATTTTGTAACGCTCGCACATGTAATTTACGGACTAAAAAACTTTTTGTTTATAATTTATTCTATAGTCTTTCAGAATATCTGAATCTCTTTGAAGTATACATATATCAAGAATACAATCTACATTACTACAAAGAAAGATTAAAATATATTTCGTATTAAAAATTAATGAGTTTAATGCTTAATTTATGCAATTACAGCCTCAAAAAATAATAGGAACATAGATGCGTTTAAAATGAGGCATTAAAAGTATGTATTCAATTGTTAAATTTTATAATTAATTCAGTGTTAAATGTTATGAACTATATTCATTTATTGAATCCTTCATAACAGCCTTTTAAAGAAAAGGCTAACAAAAAGTAATTCTTAAACATTTTCATCTGCGTTAAAGATGCCAAAGCGTGTTTCAAACCATTTCTTTTCTTCTTTTTTATACTGTAGAAATCGCTTATTCTTGTCTCTGTCGTTATTTAGAAACATTTTTAACATAAAACTATACGATAATACCTAAATAAATATAAACACTTTGTTCATAAAGAAAACAATTTTTGACGAAAATAGCATAACAGTCTTACATTCTTACTCAAAACAAAAAGAAAAAAATGTTCAAAATATGTAAAATTTTATAAACTGTATAAATAGTAGAAATTTTTATTGAGAAAAATTCTTATGATTGTCATGAAAGTTCTTATCCTCCAGACAGAATACATAAAACTCATATAAAATGTACCATTTAAGGTAGAACAGAGGGAAAAATATGATTCGCGAGAAAGAAAACCTTTATTTTTATTTTTATTTGCCAATATATTTTTTTCTGTTTGAATTTTTCTTTTTATCATGATATTATTGTTATTATCACCTAGCCATTTTTCTTAGTTAAATTTTTTTATTCGTTTCCTTATCATTTGTATGTATAAAAATTTCATGAATGTGTGTTGTATATATTTTTATTTAATATATTTAACATAAATAATTACTAATATTTATCTTTGACGGTTTTCAAGACGAGCAGTACGATTTGTAATGCTTTTTATAATCCACCTTGTTTGATTTGAGAAACTTGCCTTGTGAATTAAAAGAGATATAAGCAATTATAAATTACAATTTGAAAAAATTTGAAGAAATAAAAAAAACATTACCTTAGTATACTACGAAGTGCTAATAGATGTTAATAGGACGGTAAGTTAAAGTTGTGGGGTTGTTAGGAATCTTACACAGTGGGCGAATTTTTATTAACTTCGCACTGTAAAGCAACACAAAGGATGCTGACGGTGAATTTCGTAATTTTAAACCTCATTCACGTGACGCCATGCCAATAGGAGGAATTTGAGATTCCACAAATTTAGCGTGCATCAGCACCTCTACACGACAGGTCTCAGTGCTCAGTGGCAATAGGGCTCGAGCTTGTAACAAGCGAGACCATAATTAGGCTACGTCGGCCTAGGAATCTCACTGAGAGACTGAATTAGGAAAACGCGTCCAGAGTAAAGCTACTTGAAGATAGTAAAGAATTCATCAAGATAGACCTGCGTAGAGATTTCATTTAAAAATAAGTAACATATGGATTTTGTTAGGATTAGATTAAGCAAATCGCTTAAAGAGTATAATTTTTTTTCTAATGGGACTACGAATTGGTGTTTTAACCTTTGCAGACCTAGTACAGTCCCCAGGAGCTGGTATCACTATTTAGCACGGCACCATATAGGCGATACCAATTACCGCAAATAAGCTGTATAATTATACGACATGGCCGCTGTCGATTTTTTGCATCATGAAAACCCACCGACTTGGCCGGGGTCAAACCCGTAACCTTGGATGCAGTAGGCAGCCACAAACCAACCACGCCACTCAGCCGTTTAGAAGATGACAACGGCCCACGGTGTTCTTAGGTGATCACCCTCCTAACACTGACTGCGCTGGATAATGCTTAACATCGGTGATTGGACGAGAACCGGCGTTTTCAGCATGGTATGGCCATTAGCAAAGATAAACTGCCCCGGATGAGGATAACTTCATATCACGGAAAAAAATACTTTGAAACATCAAACAGGATGTTTATGGCAACAAGCCTTTTATACAAAGAAATAAGGAGTCCTTAAAACTTCTACTAAGTTTGAGTTCAATTATGAGCCGACAAGTTGTATGAGTCCAAATTCCTATAATTTTATTGAAATAAATGATTGACTCTTCGCTAAGGGGGAATTTCAATATATATTTTATCAGTTACTAGTACAAGAACTAGCATCATTTTTTGTAGTAGGATAATGCAAGTAAAATGTAAGTAAATAATGTAAAAAATAAAAAAAAAGCATATTTTTTATTTTATATGTTTGGGAATACAATGCAATAAATCATAGAAATTAAAAACGAATTTTCATTTACCATGAAATGTTTTCGAAAAATTATTTCTTACCAATTATTTTAATTTAATTTGTTTTCAAATTAATAATCTTCTTAGGAGGAAAAAAATACAATTAAAAATATCCTTTTAATGTAAGAATAACTATAAGCTTTGTTAATAAAGAATTTTCTTTTACCAATCAGTAACTCTTAAAAATGAGTCTTTGTTTCAAAAACAAGCTGTCAGTTTTTTAAGATAAATAAATAAAAGATAAAAATTTCCGCTTGTAAGTAACTGTTTAACCGAAATTATAAAGTTCAAATGATCTCTTCAATTTCATCTTTATTATAATATATACGGTATTGAGTACATAAACCTTAAAAATTTTGGTATATGTAAATAAATTTTTTTCGATACACTGTTTTGTTATGTTCAGCGAATTGCAATCCCAAACGCATTGTGGAACAATCCATACCGCACCTCAAGAGACTTCATTTTGAATTTGTCGTTGTCTCTTTACGGTTGACAGGATTATTGAGTAGAAGTTATGGGAATACATCAGTCTTCGGAATAATGGGATTTGTTTGACTAAGCTAAACGGCTGTGAAACGCCCATGCGAATGTTCGAATGTTATTAAAGCTCCTGTTAAATCCCTCGAGCAAATATAGTGTTTTGCCGCAACTAGTGTAAGCGTACCGGAACATATGTTCAATGCAATTAAGGTTTAGTACAAATAAACATTTAATTTTCTCATCAAATGTTTTATTTCTATTCGGAAGGAAATTGTTTACAAAAGAGCTTTTTTGGAAATGAGCCGTTATTTTACAGTGTTTATTAATATTATTAATATATAAGATTGTTCAATTACATAAAATATATAAATTCATGTAAATCAGCAGATATAGTCCAATGTAATATTGCTAAGTATGACAATAACTAAAGTGTAACCTTTAATACTGTTTTCAATAGAGATGTATTTAAAAACGAAGGAGACAAATCTGAAATTAATATTCCATCGTGTTTAATTGTATAGTAAAAGTCTGAAAATGCCAGTATAATAATTGCTAAACCCGAAAAATATTTTCATGCAAAGATACATGATATATATTTTCATATAAAGTAATGTATACAGTTCATAAAACCGTTAAAATTATAAATTTTATCTCTTTACAAAAGTGACGAGTTTTATAAATAATTAAAAGCTTTTATTCCTTTTTCTTATTTTCAGAACTAGAAGACATATATATATATGTATATATACAGTCGAACCTCTACTTAATGAGCCTTTATTTTGTCAACTTTTCTTGGAATCAAGAACATTTTACTATTTTTTCTTCGTAAAATAGCCTCACAATATCTAAGTGAATATTCTATTTCATAAACTTTTTCTCGTGTGATTCAATTTTTTTCACCCTATTTTTAAAATAGACTCTATAACAAAGAAAAAAAAAAACTACGCCCCAAGAAGGAGTTGTCCAATTATAATGAAATTTTGTACGCAAAAATATTTGTACCGACCATGCAAATGATTAAAATTTAGTGTTCAATGAATGAATAGCGGGGGCTACAGCACATCGGAACTGCGCACTCAGCAGATGGCTATAAGAAGTGATTCTCAAACTGATGTCAAAATTTCTGTTGCATTGCGATTTAGGGAACCTTTTAACGACTGAAAAAATGCCTCACCACAGGATTCGAGCTCATTACGAGCAACTGTCAGAGTTTGAAAGAAGTCGCATCATTACATTGAAAAAGGCAGGTTGGGAAAATCGGAGAATCACTCGTCATATGAGTCGAAGTGATGGAGCCATTAGAAGATGCTGGCAAGAATGGGTAGACAATGTCAGATTTCAGCCTTATGTTGGTAGCGATAGACCTAGGGCCTCAGCAGGTCGAGAGGACAGATTGATTGTCAGATCAGCAGTCAGAGCACCTGATTCATCGTTATCAACCATCAGACATGTGACCCGCACGCGAGTGTCCAACATGACCATTCACAGATGGCTGATAGAGAGAAATTTGTGCTAGTACCGACCGCTACGCCACCTACCACTGTTAAGCCAGATTACAAGCCTACTACGCCTACTACGCCACACTGTTAAGCCAGATTACAGTGGTGCTTGACTCGATCGGGTTGGAATCATTTTGACCGGGGAAGTATAGTGTTTAGCGACGAATCCCGCTTCCAACTGGGTCCTTACGATCATCGAAAACAAGACGTGTCTGGAGACGCCCAGGGCAACGTGCCGATCCTGCTTTCACTATTACACGCCACACAGGACCTCAACCAGGAGTTAGGGTTTGGGGTGCCATTTTTTTGACAGCCGGACCCCTTTCGTTGGCATTAGAGGCACACTTACAGCACAGTGGTGCGTCGACGACATTCTGAGAACTGTTTTGCTACCATTCCTTTAGCAGTACCCTGACCTTATTTTTCAGCAAGAAAATGTCAGACCACATTCGACACGTGTTGCTATGAACTGTCTACAGCTTGTTAAAGCCAGATCGCCAGATCTCTCGCCAATCGAGCATGTCTGGGATATGATGGGAAGGCGACTGTATGTACCAGAGCATGTTGATGACTTGGCTCGACAATTGGAGCAATTTGGGCAAGAAATAATTCAGAAGACTACCAGGGTTCTTTATCCACGGGCTCTATGCCTTGTCGTGTGGCAGCTTGCATCCAGGCTAGAGGTGGCTCAACACCGTATTGAGCTCGTTACTTTGTAACTATGTAACTCTGAAATAGACATTGAATTTTTCTGAAATTTTAATAATTTTCTATTCTGTAATTAATTTTTCTACCCATTAATTTTTGTCACTATGAGACAACTCGTTCTTGGTGCGTCGTTTTTTTTTTGCTATAGAGTGTATTTCCAGGCATTTAAAATTATTTTCTCTTTTAACACATTTTATGGTAACCAAAAACCTTGATCTGGTTTTACAAGCTGCCGAGAGCAATAAAATTGGCATAATTTTTCAAACAAAAAACTCAAATAAAGTTAACAGATTTTATCAGTAATTAAATTTAAGGACGTTTGTATCAAGGTGTACTTAAAATTACTGATTATAAAATAATGTATGCTTAAAAGTATTTGCAGGCATAAAATTAGAAAATATCATTAAAATTTATTAATTTTGAAATAATTTTCTGAAAGTTAAAAATGTAGTGTATTTTTCGTTTTCTCTCTGAAGATTTATGCAGTGTTTATGAATTTGAAATTTGTTTTGTGTGCTTTATAAAGTATATGAAAAGAGACGAATTTCTGTTAAATGAATTTTCCACATAAAAAAAAATTTACGTGTAAAAGTAAGAGACTTACGTGTAAAAGTAAGATAATTTGAACATTATAATGTCTTTTTAAAAAGCTAATTTGCAGATTTGAATAAAATTTGTTATGAATATGCATTTACAAGAGGGAAAGAGATACCTCATGTTATTTAAAAACTATTTTAATATATGCATCATTATTAGTAACAATTATAGTAAATTGATGTCCAAAATCTACATTGTGATACTGAACTAAAATTAATACCAAGTATGGTCTCCTCTCACAGCCATTTAGCGTGAAAGCATACTGGACATAAAGCAGATCATAAGTCCATATGGCAGTCAATTTCCCTCTCATAACAAGACGGGTTTTAGCTTCCACATGGTCCTCGGATGCAATTGATTTCCCAAAAAACGTCTTAAACATACTCTATAGGTTTTAAAAAAAGAGATCTGGATAACCTATTCATACAACAAATATCCTCACATTCCAAGTAATCATCAGTCAACTGAATCTTATACCTTCGAGTAAAAATTTATCGATTTTAACAAGACTACTCCTATGAAATATGAAACACAGGTCTCTAAGAGATTTCCTTTTTATAACTCATTGCAGTCAAGAAGCCTTTGTAAAACATATACAGGAGTGTGTGGCAGTGCTACAAAATGCATGTGCAAAGAATTACACTTCTACCACCTGATACCCAGATGAGCGACGGATCGTATAGTGTACAAGGAAAGTGTACTAAAAGTCAATGTTCAAGCTGAATCCCGAATCAGTATGTCACTTGACTGAAATCTAGTCCAAAACGGATGTTGTCTCCACCACGCTAAATGCAATGTTTTATGCTGCAATGAGTGCAATTAAAACAACCATTCTTTTGGAATGCAGCACTCTCTCTTAATGTCTTTGGATAACAACAGACCGTCTAATTTGGGTTTCAGTGGCGGCGTATAGCTCATGCGAACACAAATGTATAATCGTGATTAAAGTGCTAAATAACAACCCTCATTGACCCACGTTGATCTGGTCCAGATCTTCCCATTGCGGATCCAGTGTCCTGAAATTGTTTCCGTTACACAAACGAAATACTGGACATTATCCTAATCTTTGTAGCTACTAGCACTTGTGGTTAGCCTTCCTCGAATCAAACGACGAATCTGCACCTCATTCCGTCATCCGTATGATTGTAGCTACTCATTTGACTTAATCTTTATAAAAATTATTGTCCATGATGAATTTCAATTCACTCCAAAAAAGGCTAACTGTCAGGTGCGAAGATCTTTTTTATAGCTGAAAGATATAAATCTACCTGTTAGATGCGAAGATCTTTCTTATAGCTGAAAGATATATATATATATATA